ATAGATTTTTCAACACTATCCTCCCCCATGAAATAATGTTGGATCTTTATATCCCCAAGTTATGAATAATGTGGCTTCATTTAAAACATATTTCTCACATTGTTTAGAGTAAACATTAGAACTGTTTTTGTGATAAGGGTAAACAGCAGTTGATATGAAATCATCCGAAATGTAATCAAACTCGAGGTCACTTAGTACTCGTGCTTCGCATTGAGCAGGTTTTTCACAAGGATCAAATGCATTATGAGGATAGGTAATATATGATATGACATCAGGATTTGATTCTTCTGAAATATTCTTATGAAATTCATTAGGACTGTCGAGAAAATCAGCATCTAACCAAACCACATCAGGTTTTCGATCATGATTAGGTTCATTTAACATATTTTCTTCAGAATTGCAAGTAATTTCATTAGCAATATGTGAATCATTAGGAAAAGTCATACCTGGTACAATAGCATGAGAATTCTGATAAATCGGTTGATCAGGAACTGTTGTCTCACAAGAATTCTGGATTTCATCTAACTCTGAACTGCCATATGACTCTGCACTGTCTTTTGAAATCGTTGATAAAGATAAATGATCATCATGAATAGTCGACTCAGTAGAATCAGAATTACAAGACTTAATATTAGTTTCAGTAAGATAAACAGTAGTATTACAGACTGACTGAATATGTTCAATATCACCACATTTAAAGCATTTAGAATTACGAAATTTACATGAATTAAAAGAGTAAAACTTGCCACAGAACAAACATTGACCAAACTTGTGCCCATCCTCGTGAACTGCATCGCAACTACTCAATGAATTATCTGCATAACCTTGAGTATGCACTGGGTCAGGATGACTTAGTAATGTCGTAGAATTTTTTTATATCCTCATGAGTCATTTTATGAGATCTTCCTCCTTTACCGCATTCGAAATTTGTATAATTAACATAGTCTATCAGCAGTTCCTTGAAAGTTGTAAAAGGAAGCGAGATAGGCTTTTCCGGCATAGTCAGAATTCTTAATAAGCTGTATGCTTCTTTTCCAATGAATGTGAGGAAGTATGCCACAATATTAACATTCTCATCATCTTCCTTGGTCATAGCCCAGATTTCGAACCTTTCAAAGTAATCTTCGAAAGCTTCCGAAGTTGAATGAATATCTAACTTTTCCATTACAGGCTCCATCGCGACGCCAATATAATATTTTGAATAATTTGAATTGTATTATGAACTAGGAATCCCAGAATTAACGCAATTGAATTAAGAAGTGAGACACAAGCACCAACGAATGTATTGTATTTAGAATTCGAAATCGAGCATTCAACAAGTACAAAGGTATTATTAGTTCTTTCAAACACCACAGAACGTCAAGGCATAAACTGAATACGCTAAAGCAAACAAGCAAATGAAGAAGATCATTATAGCCGACAAACAGAAATACGTGAAAGATTTAGCAACGACAATGGAGAAAGCTGCAACAGAAGCAAATATCAAACAGCTATGTGACACAACGAAGAAACTGGTAAGGAAATATAGTAAACCAGAGAGAACAGTCAACGACAAGAAGGCAGGCCAATCATCGAGATTCAGAAACAGAAGAACAGATGGGTGGAACACTTTGAGGAACTCCTGAACAGACCAACCCCACTAGACTCACCGCAAATCGAAGCTGCACACACAGACCTTCCTATGGATGTCACCCCACCAACAATCGAATAAATCAGGATGGACATCAGATAAATCAATAGTGGGAAAGCAGAGGGACTTGACAATATACCAACCAAAGCACTAAAATCATACATATCAGTAAAAGCAAACAAACAAGATTTAAACTTCGCAGATAACCCGTCTCTTCTTTCCTATACACACGAACAAATGCAGATGAAGACAACTAGTGTGGAAGCGGCCTCTGCATCAAGAAGCTTCAGTATACACAAAGGAAAAGGTAAGATTCTGAAATACAACACGTAGAACACTGACCTAATGGCAAAACTCTGGAAGAGGTAAACAATTTCACGTACCTGGAAAGCATCATCGATGAACAGGGAGGATATGATGCAGATGTAAATGTAATGATTGGCAAAATAAGGACAGAATTCATACAGTTGAACAGCATATGGAACTCAAAACAACTATCTCAAAGCCAATATCAAATTGGGAATCTTCAATACGAACGTCAAGGTAGTTCTACGGTACGAAGCTGGCGCAACCTTCATCAAAAATGTACGGATATTTATAAGCGATTGTCTACTCAAGATACTCAGTGTCCGTTGGTTGGATACCATCAGTAACAGCCTACTGTGGGAGAGAACAAACTAGGTTCCAGTTGATGAGGAAATTAGGGAAATTCACTGGAGGTGGATGGAGCATACATTATGGAAACCATCAAACTGCATCACACAGTAAGTGCTAACTTGGAATCCTGAAGGAAAACGGAAAAGAGGAAGACCAAAGAACACATTCAGTCGGGAATTCGAGGCAGACATGAGAAGGATGAATAGTGATTAGAAACAACTGAAAGGGGTTTCTCAGGGCAGAGTTGGATGGTGAATGTTAATGGGCGGCCCATGATCCTCTACGATGGGTAACAGGCGTAAGTTGCCAGAATTAATTGAGCACTTTTATCCCTTAACGTATTAGGGCCGTTTCACACGATGGCCGGAAGCATTAGCCATCAATGATATTATTGTCGAAACATTTACCCTCGCCTTCATCGAACGATGGGTTGAAAACTTCGGCTGCCTCTGAGCTGTCACTGGAGACTGTGGACGCCAGTTTCAATCTGAACGTTTCCGTTGTCTTACTGGACCACTAGGAGTCATGTGATTCCGAGAGACTACCTACAACACACAAGCTAACGAGTTGGCAGAACGATTTTACCGACAGTAAGAGGCTTTTCATAGTGGACTGACTCCCTTCCACTGATGTAACGTGATGTTTGCTATGCTATAAAAGCAAACACTACGGCTGAACTCGTTTGTTGCACGACACTCCGACTTTCAGAGAATTTGTGGATCCTTCCTCTTATTCAATGACTATGGTGTTACGTCCAAGTTTTGCTCGTCCCGTTATTGAAGTACGGTATATCGATCTACTTGCGATTTACGAACCTAAATTAACAATAGAACCAAACTCCAATTTGGGTAACGAAGTTTATTCGCAATTTACCAATAGTCCACCCACATGTCGTTCTAACAATAATTATAACAATTATAGAAACAAACCTTCAATTTTGTAGGTTCCCGGAGCAAACGTTCCCAAATACTAAACCAAAGACAAAACAAAATATCCGAAAATAACGGTATAAACAAACAAGTTCAGAAGTCGAGTAAAACAAATACATCCAGGAACACAGTGAAATTAAGAATATTTAACATAAATGTTTTAATCAGTCAAATATCTTCAGTTCTCCCGTAACACTATGGGTCTGAATTCTCACGCAAACAGGCTTACAAACTCCACGAGTTCAGTGAAACCTGATATAAATCGACTTACATCATCTGATGTTTTCATTCAACCTGCTTCCCGATACAGTATACTCGTTTTTGTACGTCGTATTTCATTACGACGACCCCTCGAAACGGCATACGAAGAAACCTTCAGAGTCCTTCGTCGCAAACGTATATGCTATATAATCAATAAAACGAAAACAACAATAGCGTAAGCATTGACTACCTTAAAGCCGCGTACTCAGGAGGGAACCTCAATAATGCTTTTAATCGTATATAATCAAATGACACGAACCTCACAATTACTATGCCTTCCCTAATGACCAACAATCATGACCAAACTTCATCGCTATCCGTAAACCGGCTCACAACAGCGTGCTCTGAGAGAGGGGGGAAGTTTCGGGAATACTTAAACCATTACTGAGGGCGGGATACGGAATGACATTTTGTTTTATCTCGTTTGTTCTTATTGATATAACAATAAAACAAACATTGTTTCTTTATTCACACGTTTTGTATCCTTACTCATGTACGAGTTCATTTCAACATGCATCTAATTTTCTTCTTCCTGAGGAAAGTTGGAAAAGATGGAAAACCGACGAAGAATACGATGAATAGAACTTTTCATTGTACGTTTTTCATTTCTGTTTTGAACCACATTGAGAAAAGACGACCAGATGTTGCTAAACATAGCGAGCTATCAGAAAAGTGTTTAACAACGGCAAGTTCGTTGGATTTAAACTTTTGACTGGCTACAACTTACGGTCATCATTACTCCACTAAGGGCGGCATGGGCTGTAGTGGTGAATAAATTACCAAAGTAAATAGTTCTGTTAGTCTTCGACATTGATGCTGACTTCATTAGTTTTTCTGGACAAACCTTTGCTGCAGGTGATCGGTCACCCATCCGCACCAGATCACGAGTGGGTACCTCGTGCTACACATCCATTGCAACTGTTAGTCAGCTTAAACCAAGCTCTCCTCGATATATAGACATCTTGTCAAATAGATGTTTGAACCCCTCTATTTCTGACTCCTAATTTAACTGGGTAGGTATCCTTCGATTACAAAGATGTTGTGTGTTAATTGATTGTCTAACTCTGAATACCTGTGGCATCTTCATGTTAGACTGAGATGAAATATCAGGCAGAGGGTGACAATAAGCCGTCAAAACTAAAAGTTTGAAAAAGGTGACTTGACTCTGTGTAAGTTTTCATGGAGGATATTTACGCCACTTGCCACAGATACACACTAATAACTCCTAGTGCTTCAAGTTACGAAATTTCGCTAGAAGTATAAGAAACAGTGTCAAATATGACCTTAAGACAAAGTGCAAAGTCTGCCAAAAATTCACCGAGTTTCTTTACATTGCAATGTTGGTTGAAGATCATACTTAACTGTTTAAGCCAACAATATACTGATGACTGATTTAAGCGGACTTCTTCATAAGACATAACAATATCAACTGCTTAGATAATCTCCAGACTATGGGACATAAGTCTTTGGTTAAAGTCACTCCATAATCAACATAACCTGTTTCGAACTTATTTTTGGTTTAAACCAACGTGCGTGTTGTTTAAATTCATACTTTCCTCAGTAGTTAGGCTGGGTTGAATTCCTTGGGGTTGTTTGGATACATTGTTATTATGAGCAAAATTCCCAGAAAAGGTGAGGGTTTAAGAGATCATGTGAAGTGTTTTTATGTATAAATATATTTTTAAGACTTCGTGTACATGTACTCACATTCTACCTGATCTTTCTTTTAGTCGTCGCCCTACAGAGCAAGAAGAAAAACAAACAAATTAAGAAAAATGCCCCGAAAGACAAATCTATTGGAAACAAATGGTAAGTTTTGTCCCTGTTTTTACGATTTTACTGGGTGGTTTTACTATCGGCATTTTGGAACGTCGTGGAACTACGATAACATGTCCTGAATAAAAAAATCGCATTTTGTTAATAATACAAGATACATAGTATCAGATGACTTATTCTACTGTGTTTAATGCGTTTTCTTTTGTAGTAACGGTGCCGTAGAAGACCGACTTCAACCACAGGACGACTCCACGCCTAAAAATGAACAGGAGCCAACATATTGTGAGTACTCACGAGATGAGGAAGTTTTAGAGGAGGAAGAAATTCTCGGCAGTGATGACGATGAGCAAGAAGACCCTCGGGATTACTGTATAGGTTGGTACTCTGTTTAATTAAGTTAATACAATCTAGGTGGATATCATCCAGTTAAGATCGGGCAGGTATACAATTCACGTTACCACGTCGTCCGTAAGCTTGGTTGGGGTCACTTTTCCACTGTGTGGTTATGCTGGGATTTATGGTTAGCTCAATATTACATTGTACTAACATCTATAGTTCAAAGCGTTTCGTTGCAATGAAAGTAGTCAAAAGTGCTCCGCACTACACAGAAACAGCTCTTGATGAAATAAAGCTGCTATCATGCGTAAGTTTACGGTAAAAATATAATTTGGTTAGGTCCGCGAATCTGCCCCAGACGACCCGTTCCGAAAAAAAACAGTTCAGTTGCTAGATGATTTCAGAGTGTCTGGTGTAAATGGGAACCGTATCCTTTTATCTTATTGCTCATTTACTCGTACACATCGGGTTTCCTAATAACGGCATACATTTTCACCATCTTTATTATGTGTAGGGAGACACCCTAACCATACACGGTCATACCCTTAGATGTTGAAACTGGGTCCATCCAGTGACTCGTTACAATCTGCCAATGTATGGGATGCTGTACGTAAAATCACCATGGTACCAATCAGCAGTAAGGTCTTGGCAGTTTTTGAAAATGTCTGGCTCATCGCATACCTTCTGCAATATGTGCCTCCATCTCGCGTTGGCAAACCACTTGCCATAAGATCTCCATTCATTTTGCTAATTATATAAATCTTATGCACAGGTTTCACAATGAAGCGCACTGATAAATTCCAACACTTCACAATCCTGGGTTCTCAGTAGTCCATGCATTTGGTTTGTATTTTAATTGCCACTTGTCGATAGGAAGTTAAATTCAAGCTACTTTGTATCAGCATATAGGAATTATCGTGTAATAATTATTTCTAAGTACATGCTAACAACCACTATGCTTAAGCTCTTATGTTTTGTTTTTCTTATATGAGGTCTTCATGCTATGGATTTCTTAACCATTACTTAGATGTTTGTATGATCTTTGAGGTTCTTGGCCATAATTTGTTGAAGCTAATAATCAGGTCTCAGTACCGAGGCATTCCACTCGAAAATGTTCGTTCTATTATTAAACAAGTAAGTATAGATTATCTTATTTCCCCCTAATGTTCGTGGCTTCTAGGTTGCCGTCTGTGTCGTTTTCACGGTTTTGTTTTTAATGTGTTTTTCTATTATTGATGCTCAAGCGAAATTAACTCAGGCTATGCCGTTACATATATAAGTAACTAGTCAATACACGCACTTCGTTTAAAGCATCCCAGAAAGTTACACAACCGGTTAACTGGATTGTCAGTATAGCAAGTATTATTTTGCAAATGACGTTCTTGGAAATTCACAGATTTCATTAAGAAATATTAACCATGGTAACGCTAGAGCAACGTAGTGGCTATATTAAATAACTGATTAGGAAGATGTGTGAATTAACTGCTGGTTACTTGAACCATGAGACTTATTTATTTGAGAAGTCAGAGTACTTCGGCACTTTTGATAAGCTAAGCGTATAATCATTAAGAGACTAAATCTGAGTGATATTCGGAATTTTCCTCATAGATAATCCTTGATAGAAAGTAGACATTTGTTGTTTTCAGCGTTCATTTTTTGAGGACCAGGTGTACTGAAACTGGTTTTAATAAGTCTCAGTATTTTGTAAAACAATTGTATCATTGATACAGGACGTGAAATAAGCTCTACTCGCAGCATCAGTAAAAGGCCACTAAGCGTAAGCTTACGAAGCGTTTGTGCTTCCCTGTAGCTTGTGACAATCACTAAGTTTATGATCCTAAGTTAGGAGATTGCAGAAACTCACTCCTCGCTCCCGAAGTATCAATACCATGTAAGCTGTACTGAGCGAGTCAGGCAGTTCGTCATGTGAATTTTCATCTTTCATTAATGTATGCAGTTATATGATAATTGCTCTCAAAAGGCAGTATTAGGTGAGGCTTAGGAACATTTGTGGAACTTTTGTTTATTCATCTGAACACAAATATTGGTACAAATAAAAATAAAAATGCGCCACACAAATAAATGAAATTGTGAAGTGAGAGTGAATATGATCGTGAAACAAATGAGTAAAAATAAGCAAACGAGGATGTATCATAGGGAAACAGTTCACTTAGGAAAAATACAATACTAAGTCCTAGTTATAGCAAGGCCGCCACTTGCTCCTGTCCTAAGCTGTCTGATAATCTCAAGTCACTAAGTTGCATTGTCTATCGGACCCCAACCAGAGAGTCGTGATGGACCGAACACCATGGACCCCAACACCATATCATACAGTGAACAACCCAGCTTTTTCCAACCATTTTTGATATTGGCAAATAAAGCACGGTATTTTATGTTTGGTCATGATGTGTCCCGACCGTTGTTGCTACCTTGACGTGGTGGTCGGGCTTGCCTATCGTGATGAAGCAACCGAGCTATACTGATTGGAACAACTGTTCCTCAAGGTCCTACGTCAGAAAGGTCGGTTGAAGAGCGGTAAGACTAAAAGCAACAAACCCAAGGTCCTAAGGCGAAGTCGTACTGCTGACTGTACAGAGGTGTGACGGCAGTAAGGTGTTTCCTTCAGACAACCAGCATGACAGCGATGCCGCCTTCCCACAAGGAGAGGTGGGGTTAGAAAAGGTCGACCCTAAAAACACACACCCACGAATATCCGTCTCCGGCGGTAGGGTCTCAACATGTACGAAGCTAACACAAAAACTACTCACTAAAAAGGTCTGTTGTGACCTACCTCAAACAGTTGTCCCTTGGCCACTGGAGTCACGCTTCCAGGTCACTAAGACTACCTCTAAACCAATTTCCTTTTCAGGTACCTCCAGAAAAACCCTTCCACGGTGTGGGCAACCGGGAAGTGATAACCGCCCTCATACCTCTAACAGCACTCAAGATCACTGTATTCATGATCAACCTCCCTCTTCAATTCCTGTTATTCCTCCTACGTCAACTTAAAACTCTAAACTTCTTTTTTCGGCTTCCCCCTCAAGTGTCACTATAGCCAACGATTCTAGTGCTCAAAACACTGTCCCAGGTCTACTGAAACCTCGATCCACACTACACATTGGAGCCTTCAATGTACGCACCCTATGTCAAATCGGTCAGCAGGCTTCCTTGGCTAAAACCCTGGAATCTCGTACCATTGATGTATGCTGTGTTTCCGAAACACACATACAGGATCCCAGTGTGGTCATTCACTTGACCTCACCTCGGCAAAACGGAGAGCCAACGAGATACACCCTCCGTGTATCTGGTGACTCGTGGACTGGGAGGAGTAGGGATAGCACTAAGCATGAGGGCGGAACAAGCACTGTTAGAGTGGATCCCCGTCAACAGTCGTCTATGTGCTGTTCGGCTAAACGGCTCAGTAAGAACTCGGAAGGATAGGGACACGTCGTTGCATTTTTGTCGTTTTTGCCTACGCTCCCACCGACTGTAGCTCAGATGAAATGAAAGATGAATTTTACGGAAAGCTATCTGAACTTCTTCAGAAAGCTAAACGTTCAGACATAGTACTCGTAGCAGGCGACTTTAATGCCCAGATAGGTAGTTTAAACCAAACAGAAAGATATTTAGTTGGGTATTTTAGTATACCGGCACAACGAACAGATAATGGTGGTCGTCTGCTGCAACTATGTTCAGACAATCGTTTATTTTTAACAAACACAAATTTTAAGCATAAGGAAAGACATCGTCTAACATGGCGACCCCCTACACCAAACCGACGATGGACTCAAATAGACCATATTGCCATCAGTCATCGTTGGAGAGGGTCGGTAGAAGATTGTCGCTCATTCTGGAGTACCTGTTTGGACTCCGTTCGCGCCCTAGTACGGGCACGCATCTGCTTGCGCCTCAATGGACGCAAAAAAGCCACATTAAAAAGACCAATTAAAACTGAGTTGAGTAACGAGAAAACTAAAAGTAGATTCCATGAACAACTGAGGTCACATTTACGTAGTTCTGAAAACGAGGCTGTTGCTTGGAAAGATATACAAACAGCTGCGGAAACAGCAGTGACATCTATTAGTGATTTAAACCAAATAGTTACAAAGAACCAATGGATTTCTTTCAAGTGTAGTGCACTGATGGATTCTTGTAAACTCATCCAATCGGGCTCTGAACAAGATAAAGAGCGAAAACAAATCAGATCTAGGTTAAGCAAAAGTCTAAGAAACGACCGTGAGCAGTGGTGTGCATCGAAAGCAAAAGAGATGGAAAAGACGGCAACTATAGGGAACACAAGACAGTTTTATAGACTAATAAAAGAAACTGGAACTAATAATTCAAGTGTAAGTAAGATTATTTCGGAAAAAAGACGATACTCTCATCTGCTCCCAGTCCAGATGTTTGGAACGATGGGCGGAACATTTTAGGGAACAGTTCAGCTGGCCTTCAGCGACTCTACAACTACCCACCATTCCCAGACAGTGTGAGTGGAACATTGAAGTTGGTCCCCCAACTCTAGCAGAAGTTCAAAAGGCTATAGTTAATCTGAAACGAGGAAGGGCAGCTGGTCCAGATGGATTGGCTCCAGAGGTCTTTAAGGATGGTGGTCCAATTTTAGCGATTAGGTTGACTAATATTTTAGCTAAGATCTGGGAGTTAGACGTTATTCCATCTGACTGGTCGCAATCACTTATCGTCCCAATATATAAGAAAGGGTCAAAATCATCTTGTGACAACCACAGAGGGATTAGTTTAACTAATATAGTATCTAAAATACTAACCTCGATAATTATCAGACGCCTAACTAAGACTCGTGAACTGCAAACACGAGAGAACCAAGCTGGCTTCAGACCTGGTCGTGGCCGCATCGACCACATATTCACCATTCGTCAGGTTCTAGAACACAGGCATACTTATCGACGTCCGACAATGGTGGTCTTTCTTGACTTAAAAGCAGCATTTGACTCGGTAGTAATAGTGAGGTTGGACTTAGGGTATTAGGTAATGATGGTAAGTCAGTTGGTGAGGTTGTTAATCTTCATCGACTGAGATGGTTGAGCCACGTGTTACGTATGACTGAACACCGATTACCACGTCGTGCAATGCTAACCGGTGTTAGAGATGGTTGGAAGAGAATTAGGGGCGGCCAAACCAAAACGTGGCATCAGTGCTTGAAGACACTAACCTCTAGTCTGAGCCATGTTGGTAGATGCAGACTACTTGGTTGGGGTCCGCGTGACTATCGTAACCGATGGCTAGAGACTCTTGGTGACATGGCTCAGAATCGATCACAATGGCGTCGGTGCATACACTCCCTATCTTCCCTTAAACTAAGAGATTAAAATCACTTCATATCTTTCTTTCTACTAACTAATTCTTTCTTCCTGTACTGTATCCTTATATGCAATCTTTCTCCTATATATTAGCACCTTTGACCTAACCACTCCTATGAATCCGATGTTCATCTTGCTGTGCTAATGAGGTATGGCAATCTGGACCGATGCATATATGTGCCTGGTCCTACGTTGTAGCTGACTGACATGATGTGTAAAGTCACTAAAGCCTAATCATCGTGGGATTCTCAGTGTCGTCGTTATCTAAACTGTTAGCCCATTAAAACGTATTATTCTTTTATGGTCGAAAAAATATATATTGTTTTAGGCCTTTAATAATAAAGTAACTAATACTTTGTTTAATAAATGATTATCTTGTCTTTAGACCCTTCAAGGACTTCATTACTTGCACACAAAGTGTCACATTATTCATACAGATATCAAACCGGAAAACATTTTAGTTTGTATTTCTGATTCTCAAATCCGTAGAATGGCAGCGGAGGCCCTCGATGCTCAAAGACGAGGTGTACAGTTGTCAGGTTCCGCAGGTGAGATTTGCTAGTAACAATTTATTAATTGATTAGAAAATGGAGCTTAACTGTATATATGTACGGAATAATCTAGCGAGTCAATTTATCATATTCAGTAGTATCCTAAATCTTCTGGTGGATTAAACTACAGCTCTTAACGGGGTTGTAATACTGCGATTCATAAGTTTCAATACCTAACTTTTCACTATCGGTAACACGTCTAGTTCATGTTTTAATTATGTATATTCAAATACGCGATTGATATAATCGTTTCAAAGCCATATACACAAGGCTGTATTTAATTACTAGACCGTAACATATTAAAATGGGGAGAATTGAATCTTAAGATAAATCATTTTGTAGTATACACTAACTACCAAATGTTTCATAAAGATATTCTAGTTTTTCATGATTCGCATAATTAAGTTTTATTTTCTCACAGATTCACTAGATTGTGATAGCATTAATTATTAAACATTTTGTTTAAGCCGTTATTGTTTGTTGCTTATAATCACTAACAATGAGTCCATTAACGTAGATATTGTGTATGTTTAACAATCATTAACTCACACAATACTCATCCGTCCCCAATCTACTAACCATAACTCCAGGATGGTCGCTTGTATTTTATATTACTGAAACCTCAAAAGTCACGTGATTGTATTGTGCTGGTGCGGTGTCGCAACCTGGACCGATGCACATATGTGTCTGGTCCTACGTTGTAGCTGACTGACTGACGTGATTGTATACGTAAAGTATGAGACCATAAGTCACCATAACCAATAGATTTCAATATACATATAACTGAAGTATGTTTAGCATAAATCTAAGTAACTGCTTTATAGTTAATTCACCAATTTATGAATGATACGAGATGTAATAGTTAGTGAGCCAAAAAGTTTAAAATTAGGCTTTTATACAAACACCGTAAACCATTTATTTAGTAAATGTCATTGAGATGTAGACTAAGTCATCAGTGAATAACTCAGTTTTATGATTCAGAGTTGATAACAGTAGTGCAAGTGCATTCATTATTTATCGTTCCTTGAATTCATCTCCGAGTAGCATCATCCATTGTCTTGTCTTTCTCATTGTCATTATATTGACTTTTCCTTTTGTTAACTTGGTCTCGTGGTGTCAACTTGGTATTGCATCTAACTCATACTTGTACTAGGCTCCATGGATGATATGGTTATCCTCACAACCCTAAATTACTGTTTGCTAACTATTCCTCAAATGAACTTATACACTGTTCACACTTTATTGAAAACCGGTCACTTAAGTAGATCTTAGGGGTGATTTTATCCAGGGTTCTCAAGTTTGTGTTCACTTACTGATTTTCTCTGTGGTACTGTAGAAATCTTGCGTTGTAATTTTAATTCATCATAGCGTAAACTTTCAGGTCACGAGTTAATTTCGTTTTATCTATACTCTTGCTGTCCTAACTTATGACTACTCTAATCGTTCCAAAAATTTGGGCATTTCGCTGAATATTTAAATGCTGACATAATGAGTAACTCATTTATTGACACCTACAACTGTTCAAGCTGTTCGATCATCGTTGTCTCCGAAGGGTTGCTGACATCCAGTGGCAACACCATGTTAGTAATGCAGAGGTTCGACATCGTGTGTTCGGGCACAGGCGATAATGCAATTGGTGTCACCATCTTGAAACACCGACTTCGGTGGCATGGACATGTTCTACGAATGTCGTCCCAGAGAATTCCACGTCGTGTATTATTGGGAGAGGTGGTCAGTCTATGACATCGTGTCGTGGCATGAAAGAAAGCTGCAAAGGACTGGCTTCTATTGGTCCTTCACGACTCCCTGGTTGGGGTCTGAGAGAGATGGTGCGACACAGTGGCTAGAAACGTTATCAGATATGGCTCATAATAGTAGCCAATGGCGATCCTGCTGTAACGTTCTTTTACTTTCTTCATAAAAATGGTTACTTCTTTCTTAACTGAAAGATTTCTGATTGCACCTTTTCTTTTCCCCAATTATTATTATTATTATTATTATTATTATTATTATTGTTATTATTACTATTATTATTATTATTACACTTCCTTACACTAATCTGTACGTTATTGCTCTTTTTCTTTTTTTACGTTCCCTACCTTTTTCCCTACTCTTGAAATCCTCATTGTTTTGTGTGGTGCATATGTATTTGGTGCCCTCTTGTACCAATATTTATGTGTTCAAATAAATAAATAAATAAATAATTTTTTAGTTACATCGGACTTATTCATTGGTAAGTCACTGCTAAACATCAGCTAAATCTATGTAGGGTTTTGCACATCTTTTTTAGTCTGCTACCCAAGTTTCTCAATTATAATGTGGAGCAATTAGGTGGTTAAGACATCCAAGTTTCCGCACTAGATCTCAGGTTCGAACCTTCTCTGTTCACTTCAGTCTGGGCACCCGAATAGTATCATTATTCATCACAGATAAAGTGTAACAAGTCGAGTACATGAATCTACTTAATAAATTAAACAAATCCATGAATCTCTAATTGATTGATGATTGAGTTATAACCAATGCCATGTACGTCAATTTTTTTAGTGCTGATCGAATTATATTAATCAAGTTCATAAATTTTATAGATAGGATAATAAATACCCTTAGTAGGTTTTAACATATGCTCTTCAAATACTGTTGAACTCCTATCCATTTTCTTATACAGTGAGCACTGCACCCAAAGAAAAACAAGATAACACGAAGATGACAAAAAGTCGCAAGCGCCGTCTAAAAAAGCAACAACGAAAACAACAAGCACTTTTAGAACAGGAACTTGATGAATTAGAGGAATTGGAATCACAGGAGCATGAACGTCGTTTGTTGGATATGGGACTGATTCCTGCTGACAATGAACAGAACCATGAAAAGCCAGAACAAGTAGATGAAAAGCCTAAAAGGGACTCAGAAGTATCCCCAGAACAGTCCTACTCGAATGAGGCTAATACTACTCCCCCAACAGCAGACTCATACAATGCCAGTCCAAGCAAAGATTGTCATCCTACTACAAATAACACTGGTAAGTTACTGTTTTATTCATTCTATCTGTAAAAGACAACTAAGTTTCAGTCGTTTCATAATTGTCGAAGAAATTACTTACGGCTAGATTTTAGATTTGTAAAGACTTCATGATAGTGACTTGCTCTATGGCCGTCTTAATAGATTCTTAGTGTATCATTTTAAGCTTTCAGTTGGTTCCTTCTATGTATGGTGTAAATCAGGTGTTACGTAGTAGACCAGTTTGAAAGCTGATTTACATGTGTTTAATAACCATAAATTCATTTTTTAAATAATTGAAGATTAAGGGTCTCTTGTGTAACTGCTGAGATCAATGTCTCCACCAGTAAAAACAGTGAAAATAACAATAGGTGGACCGAACTTAAGTAAGACTAATGTCCTGGTTTTTAAATCGATAGATACCATCAAATTTAATTTTGGAAACAACTGGCCATTGAAGTGAGCACTGATGGAGGAAACTTTTAGTTGCGACTACTTCATTTTAATTACTAATTGCTGTTAGCAAGTTAACTCATTTGTTTGTTTTATTTTTCACTCAATTTCCTGATGTAAAGCTTAACAACCTATACCTAACACAATGTTCCTTTACACCAATGTACTGTTTAAGTCGGGTTCGTTTTAGGTTTTAGTACTGTGTTGTTCTAAAGTAGAACCCAAGTATTAGTCATCGGAAATTTCACGAAGTTTAGTCCGGATTCATCTGTTTATCTTCAAGTCTAGGATCGGTTCTAACTATTGATCGACTGTTTACTTTTAGCTTTATGACAACGACAAAATTCATATTTAAGAGCTAATTGTTAGCCATCACAGTTTAATTAATTAATCTGGCAGTAAACGATCTCATTGATGTCTTATTTGTTTGGCTGTATATAATTTTTTCAATGAAAAGTAATGTTTGAAATGTCTACGTTAAAACTATTGTGTTCATAGGTTTTTGTATATTTTGTGATGTAACAGTCATCATATAGATTGTTAATAATCTATCCCAACTTTTGAGTCATCTTAAAATTGGTTAAACTGCTGGTATCATAAATTTACTTTCAATTTTTCGGAGGCTGTCACGTTAAAAATAAGTTGAATAATTAAATTTATATCTCCTGACAAGTGGCTCTTCTCACAAATCAGTTCTATGACTTAACTGTTCAGTTTTTCCTTGCCTCGACGATATCTAACAGTTAGTAATGCTGTAATATCTAAGTCCCAATATTCGTTCTGTCCTATCCAGCTGAAGTATTATTTTGCAATCAAACTTAATGGTTTGCATATCCAACCGAATCCAGCAATATAATCCGGTCTAAGAACAGCCATCGTGGTTCACCTTACACCAAAGATCTCTGATATTTCGTTAACTGGTTTAGACCATTCATCTAAACTATTTGACGATTTCACCTCATCAGTAGTTTGAGCAGTTCAACTTCGAAAATTCTTGTTATCTATTGTTAGTTTGGATGTGTAATCAGTTTTCCAACTGTTTTACCGTTATTGGTGGTTTTTGTTATTTCTTTAATCGACAATTTAGTGTACATGCATTGCGTGCAAATAATTTATTCTTTATGATGCCCACCTATTGCCCATTTTACTGGATCAACTGTACTTAAAACTTGTTCGCAAGGCTTGTTACTGTGAACACTCATACTACATTAATCAAAAATACGTTCATTTTCATAAAGTAGCTGGCACTCATATGGTGCTGAAATATGCAACGCGAGGTAAAAAAATTAGTTTTCGACCTCCTTTAATTCCACATAAACCAACGAAATCACGTAAACTCAAGTCCCATGACAGAACTAACATTCCCAAAATCAAGTGTTCAAACAAGATCGAAATTCTTATTATCAGCCTTTTTCAAAATAACATTCGAATCGCTTCACACCTCGTCTTATTTCAGTTATAGAAAAACTCAAAAATCCCATTAAAAGAAACTAGTAATAAAAAGATTCAACAGGTATATTGAGGCATATTTAATCAGAACATTTTCTCTATCACCGAAACTTCTTGTCAATAACTCAGATTGCTTAACCCTTGGTCAGACCACTTACTAAGACTCCATCATCATGTCTACAATGTAGCCGCCTAGCATACAAGTAAAATACAGACCACCTAGTCATCTGGTTAAGTGGATATTTAATTACGGAATATAAATCCCCGGTAATTGATTGGATAGTAATATTCAAATTCTTAGTGCATAGTTTCATTGTCTCTTACAGATCTGTAGGTCGTGACCGTAAAACAGTAACGTCAAGACTTGCTTCCTTAGATTGGGAATGAAGATTGCAGCTATATCACTAAAAAGTTCATTAAAAGAAATAAGTCTAACAGGTGCTTTAACAGAACAACGACTTAAAGTAAGGAATACTACTTGATCGTCTATGTAACCCATTAGAGATGATAGGAAGCTCCCTTATTCTGTAACAATTTACTTCCATGATATAATGATAAGCAATATGTGTTTCCAAATCTGTTCGTCGCAATGTTCGTATAGCAACTACCCTCAGGTGTTCCAAGAAATCGATTTTTTTCTCCTGATAAGCTTCCTATTCCCGTTCGTAGAAAAAGCATAAAAAACCTTTCTTTCTTTGTTTTCGCCTGTTCTGGTAGTTGGTGCAGTGTTTATGGATACTGCGCGTGCTGTTGTCTCGGTGTTAGGCTACGCAACCTCCATCCCATTCAAGGCTTGCAGCAGTATTTTGGAGGACAAGACAGCTCCCATTAATAACCCTCCTAAGATATCGTCCACTCAAAACGACGAGCAAAATCTTTCATGGTTAGGCAATCAGAATGATGTCCCAGGTTTCATCAGTTATGGAGACCCCAAAATTAAGATTCCTAGCCCACTTCAACCTGGACAAAAGCGTACAGCTTCCATTTCTGTCGACTTCACTCCATCTGAGTCTTCAACTGTCTCCCATGCAGATGTTTGCAGTTCTCCGCCATATCGCTCATTTGTCCACCTTGCTTTCTCTCCTCTGGCTGATCGACTAGTCCGGAAGTTATCCTGGCCATTTATCTTCAGTGAGTATTTTATTCCACATGTACATCAATGCATCATCTGCTTGCTTCACAGTTGATGATCCGATTGCGATTAATTGTTTTATGTTACGCTGGTAAACTGCGAATGCAACTCGTGATATCGCTTCAACAGTTCTCCTAGGTCAGTTTTTCTAAGCACGCACAACAATACCAAAGGACTTGACGATAAGGTGTTTTAGTCCATATTTCAATACTATCTACACACAGAATATAACGATAAAATGGAAATCAAAGTGAAATTATTGAGAAACTACAGAGGACTAAATGTTAATAAGAAAATCCAAATAGGGAATTCAAAACAAAGTGATTCGATATTCAAGATTTAGCAAGATGAAGATGCAACTGCTCTACTTTAACTGATCCCTAGTCAAAATTTGAGTTTTCTCCTAACAGATTCGGAAACTTCATTTAATCAACACTGATAACATCAGTTGGTAAATTTGTAATACGTTACTAATGTGCAATACGTGTAAATGAATACGATTAACAACTTCGATCACAAGAAGTATCGACCGGTCACACTACACACCATACTTTTTAATTCTCACTATTATTTCCACAATATAGTGCTTCTCATGCGGATTAGACTATCCAGTTTTTCCACTCAATTTGGTGCTTTGTACTTGTTTATGAAAAGTGAATACCTCACTCTTAAAAATTTTAAATCTGTCGAAACATTGTCCATTTTGATCCTCAACAGTTCATCCAAGTTTGTTAATCACGACACTCAAAAAACTTTTATTCTTCAAAATTACTCCTGTTGTGAGGTTATTCATCTGATTTTAGTTGCCTATCATCCTTACATATTGATAGCTTTCGTTCTTATGATGGTTATTTTCAGTGCCATCGATTGCCCATTTTTGAGATGTTTTATGTTCTAAGCATTACAGCTCTGATATTATTGGTCAGACTGTCGTTTTGATGTTCAGAACATTCCTTCGCTAACCAAATATTAGTTAACTCTTACGGTCAGCATACTAAAAGCTAACAAACTGTCTCCGGTTGATTATCAATACAGTCGTGTTTTAGGGTTTTTGTAACCTTATCGTTTTCCCAGCAACCAGTAATATTTAGTTATATGTTTGTATCGAGGTTTTCTCTAATATTTCCTTTATACAATAATACTCGTTAAATTTTAAAATTAATGCTTTGTCTCTTTTTGCATATAATTACGTCAACTTCCCATGTTTTATTTTAAAATCCTAATTTTGTACTTTTTTGCTTTGATTAGGGTCACCCGACGTCTCTACAAAGCCACCGTGTAAAAATGACACAGACGAGTCAAAAGATCATACTAAGCATAAACAGAATAAGGGTCCAACTGACTTGTCGGAAGAAAGTGATCAAGTAAGTCTTATAATATTCCTTATCAATTGTGGTATAATCTTCACTCTATCAGATAAACAAAACATTCATCTCTGTAGCTTGTGATGCAATTTTTGAATATATATCAAAACTAATCACACTAAATGTCAAAAGTGCCTCAGTAATGCCTGTTACTAAATCACTGAATATCCAATTTTCTAATTTTTAATAAGCGGTCATATTTCAAACATTCTCCTACTAAACTGGTATCAAAAGTCATGTCACAATCTTATTTGCAACTGATTAGTACAGCAGTGTGCCATATTTTGAATCATATCATAGGATTTCCGTAATTAACTCATGGACCTAAAACCAGGTCATATCTTACAGATTAGTCAGGCATTCTGTTCTATTTGGCGTATGATTTGTTGATTGAATGTTTCAACATACGGTTAGAAATCGTATTTAGAAAATGCTTCCACTTGATCCATAAGTATTGAAGGTGTAGGCTGTGGAGATTTTTAGCGTTAGTGTTGACAAGGATAGACTATGATGAAGGAAAAAGATAGTCCATTGTAAGAATTAACATGTTTCTGAATTATTGTGACTGGTCACACTTGGTTTTTTTCATTTCTATAATTATTTTCAAATTGGTTTTCATTTAGTTTATACAAGAAGACAACGAAAGTGGAGTGGCTGTTCGTCGTCGAGTTAAAAAGCTTCCAGATCATTCTGGTGCTGCCGATGATAAGGCTGATATTCCACTGGCTCCTGTGACTGAACCACAGAAAACGTCAACTACTGGTGATCGTAGGTCCGTAATCATTCAACCAGATGGGCTTTTGGCAGCAGCTGCAGCATCAGTGATGTCTAGTACTTCTCATTCTCCTCCGGAGTCCTCAGCAAAAGATGATCAAGGTCAGGTCAAATCGAATTTCACGAACTCGAGGTCAAACGGAACTGAAGGAAATGAAAGGAAACTTAATTCGGAGTCCAAATCAAGTCTGACAGTAAACAGTACTGGTGAAGGTAGTTCCAAACGGTTAAGTTTGGTTACACCATCTAATAACAATGCAGTTTCTGGTCAAAGTGTTTCAAACAAACGTCGATCACTGCTTTTCGAAACTGTGATACATGAACCTGATGCCAGTAAAGAGGTGAATTTTCTTAGCAATCTTTCTTCCTCAAGGAAATTGGTTGTAACTGAAGATTTAGTATTTATAATACTGGAATGTCCACATTTAAAGAGCAGATGTTTTGAAAAAAATTCTAAACAAAATAGATTGTTTTAGCACTTGAAATTTAATACAATAGGTTTTTTTAAAAAATTCATTACGACAGTCAAAATATACTAGGACCCAAAACAATTTTATTACATTAAAATCAACTGATCTAAGTTAGACAATCATCAGTTAGGTACTCACAACGTAGAACCTAGTACGTTTATGCATCGGTTCAAGTTGTTATGCCCCACTAGCAGAAAGGGATGGAACTGCCAGGCCAAATTCCAGGATGGTGAAGAAAGTAAAAGTATCAGTGGTAATACAGAAGATTAGAAATCGGAGATACTATTCGAAAAGGAATTATAAATTAGTGAAATAAAGACAAAAATTTTACGAGGATTCCGAAACTTAGAATTGAGAGGAAAATGGATACACCTGTGCCATTTCAAATGAATCGAGCGATGTCATTCAAAGCCTCTTACCACTGGTTGCAATAATCACACTGACCCTAACCAGGTAATCCATACCTATTAACATGGCTCAGTCTAATTGTCAATGATTTCATGAACTGATGCCACGTTTTGGTTTGACCACCCCTCGCTTTCTTCCAACTTACTCCTATACCAGAAAACATCGCCCGTCGAGGTATGGAGTGGTTGGGGATACGTGACACATGTCCCGACTACCTCAGTCGATAGAGATTTACTACCTCATCGATCGATTTCCCATCTTTACCTAATATACTATCCCTAACACAGACATTACTTACTCAGTGGTCCGAAGACACCTATGATCGAATATTAGTAACCTACAATTGTCTTCTGTGTGTAATGGCCACGTTTCGCAGTCATAAAGCAGAACAAAGCGAACTGTTGCGCATCAAACTCGCCCTTTATTTGTAAAACATATCTCACCTATTCCACAAATGACGCAAGTTGCCAAAAGCCAATCGAACCTTTTCAATCCCTGCCGAGATTTAGTCAGACACCCGAACACCAGTACTGATACGTTCAACTACTTCAGTCCCTATCATTAATTCAGGCGATGACGCAAGCCAATCCTAATGTAAGATTTTACATTTGGAGGGGGAGAACCACATATCAAACGTACTTGCGTTGTTATTCAAGTTGATCAAACCGCATCTTGTCATCGTCTTCAAATAGAACTATATCATCTGCGCATTCGAAGTCAACAAGTGAATCTCTTGGTAGATGAATCTTTGAAAAGTTAGACTATAGAGTATTATACCTAATAGCATATCTGTGATGTTAAATAGAAATAAGGGAAGCGAACAACCCCAACGAACACCAATTTAAGTAACTAATTCCGATAACATTTCTCCATAAGCTCTGAATCGACCAGTAGTGTTCGAGTAGAGTGAGCCTGTCCAAGGTTTATGTACTTATTTGGTACACCGTTGAATGACAAACACTGCCACAGAACCTGACGATCAACGGAGTCAATCACCACCTTAAGGTCAAGGAATACAACTACTGTTAAATGTCGGAAAGTATGTCTATGTTCCAGAACCTAGCAGAGTAAGTATTTGGTCTGCATCCGCGTTCAGGTCTGAGACCAGCCTGGTTTTCTCTTCATGAGCTCTAATTGGACGTCGAAGTATTATTGAGGCTAAGAGTTTTAAACACTGTATTATTAGTATATGGTTATGGAGATTGGGTTGAAGGCGTTTCAATATAATAGTTCACAACTTTCAATTATCTGATAGTTGTCAGCTTGGGTTATGGTTGTTGTTACTCTTGCGCAGGTGAAATGCCGACTCGTTCTTTTAGAGTCATTTATTCGACTTTATTCATTGTACTGTGCTTTGTTTATTCCACAGCCGTGTGATATTGAAGTGAAAATCGCCGATTTGGGTAATGCATGCTGGACTTACCGTCATTTTACTGAGGATATTCAAACTAGACAGTATCGAGCCTTGGAGGTTCTCATTGGCTCCGAATATGGACCACCCGCTGATATTTGGAGTACGGCTTGTATGGTATGTGTTTTTTATGTTTCGTCTAAATAAAGATTTATATCAGTTCTTTTTAATAACTCACTATACAAGTTACATAGCACTTCAGACGTACTCGTTTCTGCTCATTACCGGTACATTGAATCTGTACAAAAGTACTCGATACACTTGTGGCAATATGACGAACTTGGGTGTAACTTCTGTAATTAAATTCAAATTTTACCAAACAACCAGTTTTCAATTTATTCAAATACTCTAAATCATCACTATACCCACAACACAATTACATTTACTTGGTTATCATCAAACTGAAATATTATGTAAACTTGTGGGAAGAAGATTTGCAGTATCACTTGGGAGAATGATCTTTTTACACATATTCCAACGTATAGACAGAATGTAATCAAAAACAAATACATTTCTGATTCAAGACAAAAATTATTTTTCTTATATTTATTCTAAAGATGACGTACTATTTCAAGGCGAAACATAACGTCACGTGGCTGTCCATCGTGACTGGATTAAATCATAGTATACAACAATATTCTGGCAACAGGAATGGTCAGCTGATATATATATATATATATATAACGGCTTACCAAAACCTATTATTAGGTCAGGGATTCAAGTCTATTTTAGAGTATCAGCAGGTTTTTAAGGCATCACAGATATAAATAATTGAAAGGGCCGTCACAGGTTCTCCCAATTCTATTCAGTTCAGGTTATCCATATGATTCAAGTGAACCGTCAACTACATCATCGACTAATAACATTAAGTCACATTCCTGCCGTAAGGTCACAACGTAAAGTGATCGCCATACTTAATTCAATGATTACATGCTCAGTATATGCGAATTATCTCGTAATACATCTAATTTCTATTGCATATATCTCACAAATTGCTAGGACTGTAAAGTTTTGCATTTTTTAAATTTATCCTCTAAAATCAATAATTACGATCAGCGTGGTATCAGCGACCATAAGCAAACATTATTTAAGCCTTTCAAATTCTCGCTATCGAATCTAATCCATCCTTTTTTTCATCAAATAATCAACTTAATGTATTCTATCCGTGTTCTACTAATCAAACTAACAATTCAATATAGTTTATATCCTTGATTGATTCGCGTCAACCATCTTGTGAAAATTTTGCTGTAAGTCAAATATCCATCAAAGCAGAAAGAAGATCCTTAGATATTCCAGAAAGCCTTTGCCATTACAAGAGTTGATTATGTGTGCATCCAGTTTGCACAGAAAACTCTCAATCCGTAAATATTGCAATCAAAAAAATATATATATATCAATACATGCCACAGACAGTAAATATCTCGTATCTGATGTTAACACTGATTTCAATTTTGTTCTCTGTCAACGTACGTACAAAGATCTACGTTGTTACTGACTGACTGACTTTGTCACCCAGTTTAATTACATTTGACTTCTCAATAGACTATATTGATATATAATACTTCAATTACCTTTTTCTATTATAGGCTTTTGAATTGGCTACCGGTGATTATCTTTTCGAACCTCATTCTGGCGAAGATTATACACGAGATGAGGACCATCTAGCACATATCATTGAATTATTAGGCCCCATACCTAGAAATATTGCTCTTTCAGGAAAATACTCCCGTGAGTATTTCGATAAACGAGGTACGTTAATGAATTCTCTTTGCCAAACTTAAAAATAGTTTAGTATCAATATGTATTTATTTTAACTGCTCACTTTAGATTCAACCTGTTCTTAACAAAAATGAAAAAGTTCACATAATTGTTATTTAGTCATTACCGTTTCAGTTATCCATTAAGACGATGGATTAGTGTTTAAAGCACTTTGTTTTCAGTTATCAAGTCACAATACCTACTTCTGTTTGAACAACCGCATAGTATTACTAACCTCCACAGACAAACAGTGGGATTAAAAACCGAGTACATTATTCTTTGCTTGGTCGATAAGTTACATTAATCAGTACTTTTAAGTAAACCATGAGGTTATTATCTAATTGCACAAAAAAATAAAGGTTTGTTTAGTTTTATTTTGTGTTCTTGTCAAAGGTTAACATAAAAATTGAAATCACAATATGAACTTTCCTTTGATTCCAATCATCAGCTTGTTTACGTCATATACATCGCTTGAAACCTTGGAATTTATTTAATGTCCTCACTGAGAAATATGATTGGCCACCAAGCGAAGCGGCTCTTTTCACCAGTTTTCTGGAACCAATGCTCGCGTATGATCCTAATAAAAGAGCGTCCGCGTGGGATTGTTTACAACATTCCTGGATAACTGGTCAACCGTATTCTCCATCAGTTGAGGAAGGCCTACCAAATCATATCCCATTTGGAGTGAATATACCAGATCCATTGATGGGTGACGTTTTATCTAATCCTAGTACATATTACCATCCACATGTCAATCAACCAAATATTGTAGATCCCGCAAACACTGCTGGCTTGTGTTACAGTCAACACCCACACTTAAAAAAGCAATACCCGACAGTTCATTGCGTTGCTCCACAATCTAGAAACAGTCGTTCTGTCAACTACATACCACCTGAACTATCTTTCAGTGGAAATGTCAACCCATCTGAATATCACTTATCTTATGGTTCCGAAATGGTTGTGGGTGGGGAAAGTGTGCCGAATCGTAGTATGTGTGTACCAGATTCTCACTTTCAACCGTGGTCCTCAAAACTCATGGGCTCAAAACGACTAGATGTTGTCAGCAATGTGGACGGCACAATAAATTTAGATGTAAGTTTTTTTTTACCCCCCCCCCTGATGTATTTCTAGTTTATACTTAACGTTGAACAGGATTCAACCATTTTGATCGAATGCCGATTTATTTCGTTCGCCTAATCTGTAATCCTAAACCTTGATATTATCCACACGGAGGTTCTATTGACTACAATGGTCATTTTATCCAAGTTAATAGAATAAAATTACATATTTACCAATTCTCACAGCTTATGACGCAAATTAAATAAATGCCTAGTATAATGGGCTGTTGAAAGTGATTTATGAAAGTAGGAGATATACAAGTATAATCATAAGAGGCTTCGAAACACTGCTCAATTATAATAGGACCACTACGTAAATAATCCTGAGGTGAAATGTAAGGGTATCTTGTAAAAACGTACCAGTTGATAAAGTTGTTCATCCTCATCTCAGGCACCTAGTACCTGTGTTACATGTTTAGCTATCTACTATGACGCGTACTAATGGCTATCGTAGGCACTGGTTTGATGAAGGTTCGAGAAACTAAGCAAAAATGTAGAACCAGTTTTGAAGTTACATTGAGACATGAGGATAGGTTCATAATTCTCAGGTAAGGTCCCACCGAAACCGGGATCAAGATTCGTCCCAATTGGCGTAGCTAGATTCGTTGTTTATGTCCCAAATCTGTTATTCCACACGCTCCATACCCTTTCTAATTTCATTCGTTCCCATATTTTTGTGTTTAATATTTTACAATCATGGATATTACCATTATCTTGACACCGCTCCTAATCTCGTTAACCCCTTCTCTCCGCGCTGTTACGAAATGTGGTCACTTACACTAATGGATGCCAATACCAGGACATATTCTGTTGATTACTGGACTGTTTGTTCTACACATGTATTCCTTGCTTAAAAGCTTATATCTACAGAAGTCGAAGAAATCATATTGTAAAATATTGTTAATGAGACAGTTCGGGACTGATAAACAACTCTTAGTAAGTTGTTTTAGTATTATTTATTGAAACGTTTGAATAATTCATTACCCCCAGTAAGACAGTCAAAATAGATTTAGAGAAGCCACACTGAATGATTTTTTGATTCAGTGTTTTAATGTCGATCTTAAAAGTATAACATTCATACTGTTTTCTTTAAATTTTACACAGTTAAGATAATGTTCTAACTGTAATCGTTGTATATTTTTCAGACACGTTCAGATATGCTAAAAAAAGGAATATGATAATCGGTTGCTACCATTTTTATATATAAAAATATTTCGTCCCATTGATCGAATACTTTTGTTTCACTGTACTTGAAAAAACTTAGTATTTACCTAAATCCATGTTTACACCTATTAATTTCAATGACTTCATTGAATCGAAAGTATATAGAAAGTTCAGATATACTCCTATACTTCCTACTAGAAATCACCATTTATTTGATTGTTCAGATCTTTGTTTGACAGCAAACCAGTCATTCCATGCGTTTATTTCCATGAATATATTATTCTTTTGTCTAAATCCATGTCACTAGGTGTGTCCGTTTTTTCCCTTTCTTTTACAAGCCTGTTCATGTTGGAAATTTCATACACAGTCTACCAGATCTCAGTCCTGCTCCTAGCGATGACGATTATGACGAAGAAGATGACGACGACGACGACGAGGATGATGATGATGAGACCAAAGAAGGTGAAGAAGATGAGGATGAAAGCGGAGATGATGAGGATCCTCGGATGCATTCGTTACACCATCATCATCGTCAGCATCATCATCATTCTCACTATTATGGACATCCATCTAATACATCATCTGTTTATCAATTTTTGGATCCCCCTCATATAATGCCAGTAGAATCTTCTGATCATCCTCATTATGCTGACCCTTTAGCTATGGCAGTAGCTGCTGGACTACCACCTAGTAAAGCTGCTATACTAGCTTATGCAGCACAAGCTCTTGGACCAGATACTGTTTGGGCTGGTTTAGCTGCAGCAAAAAAACGTCAACAAAAACAGCAAGCGCAACCAATGAATAATACAGAAGAGACAACTTCCGATTCACTTACTAATAATGATCATGTAATATTAACTACCTCAACTATAAAAACTGATGATGATGGTACACCACGTAACACTGATTCGTTGCAACAACAAAAGAAAGAAATAGATAATGAATTACATAACAGTGGACTTGATGTAGAAGATGTATCTAATTATTTCTCAACTTCACTTGAAGTACGCTCTGCTACAAGTTCTACAACCGAAGATATATCTAATACCCCCGACTATGTGAATAATATATCAGATATGAGGAATTTTGATTCTGAATTACAACGTACAGTGAGTGAAAATATCACTCATCAATATACTGAACCGACAGAAACACTTACAGAAGCTTAGTTTTCAAATTCCAATTTATCTGATCTCTATCTCCTGTTTTGTGAGAACCACCTATAGGCTTTCATTTTATTACTCTTATCTTAAAGCATATTCACTACTATCTCATAAAACAAAACAATGACGTTTGTAATTTGGATGTTCTTGTTAGAAAAAGATTTTCATCTTATTTAATGATGTCTATTATTATTATTATCATCATCATATTGATATCCATAAATTGAAAGTTTGATGAACACATTCACTAAGTAGTAATGGTGGTGTATCTGCCAATTATGTCTTCTTTTTTGTTTTTAGTTTACATTCATTATTTCCCTCGACACGTGGTTGGTTTTTATACATCATATAAAACAAACAGCCTCGTAAACTTTCTCTTATATATATATATGCATACAAAGATGTTTCAATGTACTTTTCGCTTTTATCTAATCCAACATATCTACCCTCTCTCATAATTTATTTGAAATATATTGCACCAAGATCAGATATAAAACCTGATATATATATATATATATATATATATATATATATATATATATTGGTTTTACTAACTACTGTACTATTCTTGTCAATAATTTTGTCATTTCTCTTCATTTTTCCCTTCATGTACAACAACCTGGACCTCTAATTGTTTTAACATTGCGAAATTTCCAGTATTTGTAGACATTTCTATCGGCATAACCTAGGCCTTATCTGTACCGATATATATATATAATTCTCATTTAGGTTAATCATTTTGATCCTAAACAAGAAAATACCCTTTGCATATTTCATCGTTACAAAGCACCGCCCCACCCTTTTAACAGTCCAATTGTACGTTTTAGTTGCTCAAATTCTTTCTAGCAACTTCATGCGGACTGTATTGTAAACTATACTCTTGTCATTAGTTTTTTTGTGTGCTTCCATTTTCACAAAAATCGTTTTTTGTTTGCGCGCGTTTGTATATCTCTGAACATATAGCCACTGCTGCGCATGCCGTCCCGTCTATTGTGTTATCAAGCGAGAGAGAGGCAGTCAGTTCTGTTTTGGAAACTTAAGATTTAACAACTATTTGCTAAAAAAGATTACTATTATCATCACTATCAATACTATCACTAACTGACAGCTGATATCATTTTCTTTTTTTTCATTATTCCTATTTCTGCAAAACCGCTGAACTATTCATATTTCAACATTAGAAGACTTACTCAAATAGTCATGTTATGCATTTTGAAATTATGTGATTTGTTGAACATTACACTAAAACTAATGTCCTAAATAGAAAATATGTGATCTAATGCCAGTTTATGCGACTCGTGTTTATACTTTGTTCTTGTTGTAAGTAAATATTCATATGAATGCGAAAATGCCTTAATTCCACTGCTATTTCATTTCTTTATTAATACATACAATAAACAACCAATGATAGTAGTGGAACTTATTATAAACTATTTGAAAATAATTGGTCAGTTTTTGTTCCTAATTTTCATATATATATATATATATATATATATATATATATATATATATATATATACTAAGTTATGCACATACACGAGTACTCATGTTCCACCATTTGTCCCATGTTTGAAATCGTGTTATATTGCCGGAAAAATTGATGATAAATATGACTTCGAAACTTTGTTAAGTTAGGTGTAATTGTTTTTTTTCTTGTGTGCGTGTATCTGTGTACCTACATTATCGACTATCCTTAAACAGATGTTCAAACGAATTCGGTTGTACAATTTACTTGGTCATAAGATTTCATGATAATTGATAACAACTCTGTTGCCATTCAAGACTTCGTGATTTGTTTTGTTTTCTCTGTTGATTTTGTGTGTTTGCTCTATCTTAACTAGTCAGTTGTTACCCTAATAACTATACTCCAATCAAATTGGTTCGATCATTAAAATACGTCATTTCCAACTGTGCAAGAAATAGATACATAAATCTGTCTTCTTTTTATGAATCTGGTTTTATGGGAATACTTATTTTTTTTTAGTGGATAATGGATACATGTTCAAGTTCAAACCTGGTTATAGTTATCAGAAAAAAATGGATTTCTATTGTGAATGCTTTTAAAGTGGTAACGGATTTTTAGTTCTATACTACGTTTATTCTGCTGTCTTTGGACGGAATATATATAATCTATAATTATAACATGATCAATAAAGCCATCACATCGCGCTTGATCAGAAATAAAATTAATTCAGCTAAATCGCCGAGTACGCGCTTGTAACCTGGACGTAAAACAACTTTTACTGTAAAGGCAAATAATGTTACTTATTTAGTTTCCCCTGACATTCCTCGTAAAGGAGTGTCAGCCCCCCCAACAACATACTCTACCGGACCCTGTTCTAGACAATCCTTTCCAGCTGCTATTTGTCCTGATGTCTTCTTCCCCTTCCGGAGGCCGTGTGCCGTTCGGTCTTCCTCTTTTCCGTTTCACTTCAACATCCACTATCTCCGTTTTTGTTCAACTTCTTCATAGACCTACTGCTGGAAATAACATTCTCGTCGACTGAACTCTCGGCCATTGGTCTCCTTCCAGGAGGTCCACTTATGAACTAGAATACGCAGATGACATAGTCTTGTTAGGTGAAGACCCTGATAACATTCAGTCTTTTGATAGCACTGATCAACAATGCCAGGGTGTTTGGGGTGCGTTTCTTCCCATCTAAATGCAAGTTGTTGTCTCAGGGCTGGCCTGCGTCAACACCTGAATTACGGATAGGGAGTGAAGTAGTCGAACGTGTCGACAACGTCACTCATCTTGGAAGTCTGATCAGCCCTAATGGGTTGGATTCTGACGAAATTTCTACACGAATTCAAAAAAGCTCGTTTGACTTTTGCCGACTTGCATCACCTACGGCGAAGGTGAGATATCCATCTATCAATGGAGGGACGAGTATACTGAGCAGTAGTTCATTCTGTTTTACTTTATGGCTGCGAAGCGTGGCCATTAATAGTAGACGATACTCGTAAGTTACTAGTTTTTGATCGCAGATGTCTTAGAAATATTGCTCGCACACAGTCACTAACGTCAAGTCTTAGCCATGTTGGTAGATGCAAACTACTTGGTCGGGATCTGCGTGACTGTTTTAACCTATGGTTGGAGACTTGGTGACATGGCTCACAATCGATTACAATGACGTCTGTGTCTACACTCTTTGTCTTCTCCTAGACCGTGAATTTAAAATTTCTTTATACGAGCTAATTTTTTCTCCCTGTACTATATCAATGTACACAATCTTTCTTTTATATATTACTGCCATTGAAGTAAGTACTTCCATAAATTTGGTGTTCATCTTGTTGTGCTAATGAAATTTGGAAACGTAGACCGATGCATATATGTGCCTGGTCCTATGTTGTAACTGACTTGTGAGTTAATGCTGTTTGGTGATTCCCACAATGTATATCCTAACGCCTCCACTGTCTTTTAATTTCCTCTTCATCTAGAAGCTGGTTTGTTCTCTCCCACAATAGGTTGTTGCTGATGGTATCCAGCCAACGGTTATTTCGCATTCTGTGTAAAGAATTGTTTATAAATTCTTGAACCGTCTTGATGGTTGTGCTAGTTTTCATAGTTTAGCTCCGTACAGTCGAACTATCTTGACTTTAGTATTAAAGATTCTCATTTTGATGTTGGCCTGCAAACAGTTGTTATGGGTTTTATAATGTCTTCAACTGTAGGAATGTTGTTCTTGGTTTACTGATTCTCGCCTTCAGTTCTGTATCGTGTAGTTGCATACAAGCTGTGCACTGTATTCATTGCTTCCCCTGCATGAGGTTTTTTCAACTCATTCAACTACTAAAAGAAAGAAATGTCGAGAGTAAGCAGCCCTGTCTGATACCCATCCTCAATTAGAATGCATATCAGTTGTCCTTCGTGCACGACTGCGGAGTGGTCTGTTTTGTATGCTACCTATATTGACAGACATAAGTAGTATGTAACCAGTCCGAATTGGAAAACGTAGGAGCAGAAGGCTAAGAAGATACGGATGGGATTGTGAACTTAAAGAATCATACAAAATGTGAAGAATGAATAACGGAAATTTGCGAATGAAGTATTCACTTTATGGTTCATATATGCTCTGTACCTTTGTAATAAAACGCAATTGCTTATCCCTACCTCTGTTGTTGTTCACAACAGTCCGTCCTATGAATATTGTATGACGTTCATAATCCTCTATAAGTTTTCCTATCCATACCGCCAAACGCCTTACCATAGTCAAGAAAGTTTGACGAATTCCATTCACGTGATTGTTCAACGATGATCCGTAATGTCGCCTTTTGGACTGCACAACCGATCCTTACGGAATCCTGCCTGTTACTCTCGAAACTGGGCATCTACCGAACCTTCCATCCGGTTCAGCAACGCTGTTGAAAACGTTTGTTCAGATCGTGTTTCTTTGGTATCCGGGTGAGGTGTGTTTCCAGTCCGTCGGCACGTGTTCCACCTCCCAAATCTTCATGAGTAGAACATGGAGCATGTTTGCATTTATTGATATGTTTGACTCCAGTGCTTCCGTCGGCATATTGTCAGGTCTCTGCTTTCCCGCCCTTGATTTATCTGATGTCCATCCTGATTTATTCGATTGTTGGTGCAGTGATATCTATAGGAAGGTCTGTGTGTGCAGCTTCGATGTGCGGTGGGTTTAGTGTAGTTGGTCTATTCAGGAGTTCCTCAAAGTGTTCCACCCATCTGTTCTTCTGTTTCTGGATCTCGATGATTGGCCTGCCTTCTTTGTCGTTGACTGTTCTCTCTGGTTTACTATATTTCCTTACCAGTTTCTTCGTTGTGTCACATAGCTGTTTGATATTTGCTTCTGTTGCAGCTTTCTCCATTGTCGTTGCTAAATCTTTCACGTATTTCTGTTTGTCGGCTATAATGATCTTCTTCATTTGCTTGTTTGCTTCAGTGTATTCGGTTTATGCCTTGACTTTCTCTGTTCCTGTTCGGCTGTTGTAAATTGTTGTCTTCTTATTCTTCCTTTCTTGAATCTTGTTCAGGGTTTTGATAGAGATCCATTCCTTATGATGATGCTTCTCGCTGCCCAGAACCTCCTGACACGTTGGAGTTAATGCTTCTTTGATCCCTTTCCAATTGTCCACCATAGTAGTTTCCTCTTCTTCTTTGAGTAGATTTTGTAATGCTTGGTATCTGTTGTTGAGAGTTATCTTAAGTTGATTGAGTTTATCAGTATCTGGAAGGAAGTCTGTATTGAATGCTGTTTGTCTAGTTTTCTAGTGCTTATTTCGCTTCAGTTTCATCTTGGCAACCACCAGTTGGTGGTTATCTAAAGCTGTGTAACTGAAATCCGCAATTTAGACATAGTTAAAATGAATTGGTTATTCTTTTTTAAACTAAATACTTATTAGTGCAAGAGGATTTGTAGAAATCGTAGAATTTCCCTAGTTTATATCATTGAGTTGATCTTGGTTAGATCACTACTGTAGACTGGTGAGGTTCAATCATGGGGGGCCCGGATCGCTCAGTGGTAACGTCTCTGACTGCTATGCTAGGTGACACGGGATGGAATCCGTCAGGGCGCACCATTTCCCTCAAGATTACAGGTATACCTTGTTGACGAGTGCCAAATAGCACGAAAACCGGGTCCAAGGTTTCCGGTTGACTACCACCAACCTATCTCAACATAGTGCACGCAGCGTCCAGTCACCTAGACCAGTGGCCACATTGTAACTTGGTCGATAGCATTCGATCTGCACTAAGAAGGACTTGACACACATGACATTGATCACCACACAGTGACCAATCAACTGTGATTAGTCCTATTATTTGCCCCCAAATGCTCTGGTATGACCGAGAGCGGGTTGGGCTCGCCCTCACTCTCGAAATACTCTCACACGGCCACGCGTATACAGCCTCTGCCAGGGAAGTCCTACTCCCTGCCTTCTCGTGCCGGGGGTGTTGTTTACGAAAATGAGAGTACGAAAAGCGAAACCACGTGCATTTTTCGTGGTATGAAAGAAATCTGCAAAGGGCTAGCTTGTGTTGGTCCTTCACGACTCCCTGGCTGAGGTCCTAGAAATGGAGCAACACAGTGGCTAGAAACGTTATCAGACCAGAAGCCAGTGGCGATCCAGCTGTAACCTTTTACGTTCCTCGTAAAAAGTGGTTGCTTCTTCCTTAGCTGAAAGATTTCTGATTGTACCTTTTCGTTTCCCTCATTATTATTATTATTATTATTATTATTATTATTATTATTATTATTATTATTATTATTATTATTACGCTCCCTTACCTTATTGTGTTCGTTATTGTTCTTTTTTTAACGCTCCTCACCTTTTTTTCCTTCTCCTCTTCAAATTCCCATTGTTTTGTGTGGTGCATATATATTTGTTGCCCTCTTGTACCAATACTTATGTGTTCAAATAAATAAATAAACAACCATGTGGGATGTGAGGCAGTTATCGACCATAGGCGATAAATGAGGGTTGCGAAGCACTGTAAAGTGATTGCAGTTATACCTACACACTATTGAA